CTCATCCTTTCTCTGTATCTCTCTATGTCTCTCTCATCCTCTCTCTGCCCTGGCCGCTTCTCCATCCCCCGCCGTTGCCCTTACCTTCTCAGGCCAGGCGAGGAGTGACTGGGAGGGGAGGATGAGGGGCGGGGCCAGCCAGTGGTGGGATCACCTGACAGGGAGCTACAGCAGAGGGCCCAGAGAGCCGCATATGGCTCCGGAGCCGCAGGTTGCTGACCCCTGACCTAGCCAAGCACCAACTCCCAGCATTATCGTGATTTCAAAAAATGCCTTCCAGCCACAAATGGTTTTTTGAGCTTTCCCAGCAAATGCAGGTAGTCCTTGACTTACAACAATTCCTTCAACGATCAAAGTTACAGCACAGTCTTTGCAGCATCCCCAAGGTCACACGGTCAAAATTCAGGCCCCTGGAAAACTGGCATGGATTTATGATAGTTATACAGTCCCAGGGAGGGAGATCTAGTCACCCTTTGTAATCTTTCCAGCTGGCTTCTGACAAGCAAAGTCAGTCAATGGGGGAAGCCAGATTCACTTAACATCCTCATGATTCACTTAACTAAAGTGATTTGTTTTAACAACTGTGACAAAAGAGGCCATAAAATAGGGTGCAACTGTGTCTTGCTTAGCAATGGAAATTCTGAGCTCAATTGTGGTTGTAAATCCTAGGTACCTGTATCATCAGGTAATTATCACTGTCCCAAATATCTGTCTGAACTTTGCCCAATGTATTTATGGTAAAATGGTTCTGTAAATAAGCATATGTCTCTGGTTTCCCTCCATAAGGGAATGAACCTAAATTGTCTTTTTGTGCACAAATTACTTGTTATAGTTTTGCGAAAAAAAACCCAAACACCAACAAACAAGCCCACAGCCAAAACAAAGAATTAGCAATCTGATACTTTCTTTACAAATTAGAACCTTGATACAATTAGATTACTATAAACATGTAAAAGTTGTTTAATCAGATTTTTAATAACAGTGACTTGTTTTAGATCAATTTCACATACTGGTATCCTTGTCTCAGCTTAAATGTAATATAAGGCTAACAGTAACTTCCTTAAAAAGATGAATACTACAAGGCTATAGAGCCTTGGTAGCACAGTGGACTAAAGCACTGTTATTAACATCTGCTGCTTGCAATTACTGCAAGTTCAAATCTCACCAGGCTCAAGGTTGACTCAGCCTTCCATCCTTTCAAAGGTAGGTAAAATGAGGACCCAGATTGTGGGGGCAATAAGCTGACTTTGTATAAATATACAAAAGTATGAAGGCTATTGCTTAACGCATTGTAAGCCGCCCTGAGTCTCCGGAGAAGGGTGGCATATAAATTAAAGGAAAAAAAAAAACTAACTTGTAAATTTATCAAATGCCATCACCTAATCAAGCTGACTGATTTTGTTGCTGTTGTCACACAGAGCAGTATTGCTCTTCTGGTCCCCCTTTTAATGCCCATTAATGATTTTTTAAATTCCTGTTTCAGCACAAGGCAAATCCTTCATGGACATGCCACAAATGCAGATTTGCAAAAAAAAATTCACATAAAAAGGCAAAACTGGTTTTGAACAAGTTTCTAGTCCTTACAAAGAGCACAGTTGTATACAAAGAGGAAAAACAATCCGCTATCAAGAGACTTCCAGGTTTCTCTTTTTTTAAAAAAAAAAATGCTACAGGATCAGATTTTCCAACGACGACAACTAAGATTGAGGCAAAGTCGATATGAATAGTGCATAGAGATCAGAGCTATCGTTTTCATTTCATTCTAGGCAGTCATCCTTGAAATGTTTAGCAGGCTCACCAGCCTGCTAAAAATGAATGTATCTTGGGATCCAATATTAAGCCTTTTGGAAATTCATGAACTCCAGGCTGCTTCCAGAAGGAGCATCTTTGAAATCACGGTAAGGGAAAGCTTTTGGGATCCGCTATGCATTTGGCTGCAAACATATATTTTTTTAAAAAAAAACAGGTTACACAGAAGGAAGGATGGAGGCAGAGAACGGAGTGAGGTTGGAAGGGAAGTGACTGTCACTTCACGAAGCTGATGCCCTTCTGGCTTTTTTTTACCAATGCCCCCCCAAGACGCAGTCCTGACAATTCCACCCCTCACCCTCCGTTCAGAGACTTTCCAAACTAGCCTTCCATCTTTCCTATGACGAAGGAGGAGAAAAATCAGACGCGGCTACATGATAGGGAAAAAGCAGATGAAGGAAGGGCTGCAGAGAATAAGATCTGAGGGGGCACTCACAAGAATTGTAATAACTGGGAAAATGGACCGCGCCCGAGAATACCACAATCGGCCCAGGTATGGCGCCTCAAAATAGTGGCAAGCTTGCAAGCTTTCCACTCGCCTGTCAAAATGCACGCGCGGAGGATTGCATGGCATGTCACCACAAGAGATGCTCCGATTTGCTTTTCCCTTAGCAAACCTCTCACTTCTGACAGCCCTTGTCAAGTGTCTCTCTCGCAGGGGTGGGAAGGGGAATATCAAGCATCCTCTTCCTGATGGATATTAAAAAGGAAAAGGTCACACACAGCCCTGCCACCCAAAACCCAATTGTATGTTTAATTTGCCAGTTTCCATTTTATATCCCTGTATAAACATAGCGGGGAGGGGAGATAAGAATGCCGAATATGTTATACATTCCCTTGTAAACAACTATAGCTCGGATAAGCTTCTACTGCCCATTTGCAGCGCCACATGAAAATAACACCACCAGTTAAAACACCAGGACCATTAAATCCATGTATTATAAAAAAAAAAATCCGCATTTAATAACCAAGGAATCTAGGCAGGCATAGCTAAGCTACCAAGCCTGCTGTAGGATATCGTTTGTTTGTTTTTTTTCCTTTCCTTTTAGTAATGTGCTCCTTTGGCCAAATGCAACCTCCAGACCTTGCAAACCGCTTCAGAGCAATTGCAACCTTGCACACTTCCCAATGTGCAGAACTGGAATAGAGAACTCGGGCGCAAAAACTGCCCGGGGCCTCTGGGAAACCCTCGAAAGGGGATTACAATAGTCTTTAGGAACAAATAATCCAATGGGATGATGAAGAGGAGAGTTAGAGGGGTGGCCTGACCTCAAGGCATTGTCTGGGAGAGAGGGAGCTGTTTTAAAAAAAAAGATTACAAAGGGAGATTAAACCCCCCATCCCCAAAGAGTGAAAGTCTGAGCATCTGTCTCGATGTATGACAAATCCTTAATAATAATAATAATAACAACAACAACAATAATGCAATTTCACCCTAAGCCCTCCAACTAATCCTACACTTTCTCAAGAATCTGCAGAATTAATAAAATAAAATAAAATAAACACAGCCAAAGGAAAGATGCGCCCGTCCATTGCAGCACCCGTTTATTGCAAGGTGTGAAAGGGGGGGGGGAATAACCAGGCTGTGCATCACCCCACCTTTTCCTCTCCCTTTCTTCACCTCCTTCCTTTCTTTCTTTTCCTTCCTTCCTTCCTCCCCTCCTTCCTTCCTTCCTTTTCCTTCCTTCTT